TCAGAAAGCGCATGGGACAGCCTGTAATACGATTCAACGGGTGTAGCCAGGCTGTCAATCTGAAGATGCAGCCTTTGCTTTAAATGCTGATACTTGGGGTCACCATTAGAAAGTAGCTCCTTTTCCTTGGTCTCGTCACGAAGAGAGCCTGAGCCCAAAATGGCCATTTTAGTCTTTGTCTCCTCCTGTATGCTTCGGAGAGTTTGACCCCCAGGACCCAATAGCTTCCCAACGAAATTGATATATGGATATTGTTCTGTGGGTATATTCACTTTGGCTCTAATTTTGACTCGCTTGTTATCGACGATTTCAATTGAATCGGCAATGCCACCACGCAGCCTGAACAGTTCTGAGTAGAATTCGATAGACAAATAATACCAAAGAACCTACCACTTTCTGCGAGCGCATGCAAAGCTGGAAATGCATTCTGATCAAGGCTCTCAAGCTCGCGAACTAGAATATCGACGGCTGGATTACTCTCCTGTTTGATCTCCTTCACTTCGTTCATGGCCATTGTAGGTTGTGGTGGCCGCCCAAAGATACCCAAAGGCGGAAGCTGACGACTTAAAACAAACTGATTAATTTAAAATTTAGTTGTTTTAAAAAATATATACCAATATTTTTTTATAAAATTTAGTTAATTTGTATTCTATTTGATGCGGCGAGTTCGCAGAGATGCTCAGGTCCGCTGGCTTATTGTCTCTCCTGTCCTCTCCTTTGCGGTTCGGCAATCCTGCTTTCGCAAGGTATTCTTCCGGAGCCGCCCATACTCTTAAAGTCGCCAAAGATATACAGGATGCAAGATCAAAACTTGTCTTAGGTGGTGGGAAGAAGCGTATCGATTCCCAACATAAGCGTGGTAAGCTTACTGCTCGTGAAAGGATTGCACTTCTTGCCGATCCTGGGTCTTTCGTTGAGTATGATGGATTCATGGAGCATGACTGCATAGAGTTTGGGATGCAAAATGAAAAGATCCTAGGAGACAGTGTAGTCACTGGTCGTTGTAAAATCAACGGTAGATTGGTCTACCTATTTAGGTTGGTGAAATTTTTAATCGTTCTCGTATTTAATACTTTCTCAATTTAGTATATCTTAGCTTCAATCCTTCCCTATTTTTATACTCATTGCAGC